TGATGTTTTCTAGTATTGCTTTGTTTTCAAAAGAAAATTGTGCAGACAATCTTCTACCTAGAACTGAAAGAATCAGAAAGGTTTATAGAATCAGAAAGAAAGGTTTCAAAAAAATAAAAACAAGCTTAGATTTGAGCCTGATGTTTACTCAATAAATAAAAAAAAGAAAAAAGAGGGGGTGGATTTTTGTGGCCAGAAGCAGATAAGGTAGAATGACAGGCAGTAGTCTAAAGGCATAAAGCATCTAAGCAAGCAACTCTGATGGGTCCACACTGAGCGAGCAAAGACATGGACGAAGTCTTCTTTCCAACTTCTGTGGGAAAGTGAGTTCCACTGTTTACAATGAATTTTGAACTCTCTTTAGAGAGCCAAAAGCCCAAACTGAACTTGAAAAAGAATTAAGTGATGCAGAGAGAATGCAGAGATAGTTAAATACTCATCACAGTGAAAATACTGACTGCTGTCAAACACTGCAAGTAAAGTTTTTGTCCCAAAAACTGAGGGCTGTATGCAGACTGATCTCCCACTTTTCACACGTATTAATCTTTCAGTGGGGCCTCACCCATATGAAATATATTCCTTTGGTCAACACTCAGGACACTTTCGGTTTGCCCTCATCCAGTTTCTCATTTAGTCTATTTGATTCTGTGTAACAGTCTGAGAAGAGAATGTATTTCAATGCAAAGGCTGAAAGTGATTTTTTCTTTTTGCTTTGGAGGTGCAACCTTTCAACCTTTTTCATACATATTGTTTAACAACAGTACCCTTCCTTACCATTATGCTGTATCAACAAATCTATTATATATCATCAACTATAAAGTAAATGAAATCCTAAAATATTCCCATAAAATTGAATTTTTCGCAGTGAAAATTCTGCTCAAAGTGTTCTTCTTGTTAGAATCAAATCGGAAAAATCTTAAGTTAACAGTCAAGTCTATTATACATCGGTTTTACCCACACCTGATTTAACGCTTATTACACTGAGTTGATAATTGTTATAAGGTTACAACATTTCCCAGAAACAAAATGTAGGAGTTCAGCTTGGTTTCTTCTTTCTCAAAAATCTTTTCCCAAACAATCCCACGAGATACTGCAAATAAAAGAATCAGAAAAAAAAAAAAAGCAACTACCACAGAAATATGTCACCATTAGATTTTTCTCATAGCTCCCTACAAGAGGAGGCAACCCTTATCACAATCTTGTTTAGAAGAGTATCACATTTTGCACAGCATTTCACATCACTAATGAACTGTCCTCCCATGAAGTTCATGATTAGAAATCTACTGGAACTGTAACATACAGCATGCTAAATATTTTATTTTGCTGGCCATGGCACACGTTCCATTTTCAAAGACATAATCGAGGCATCGCTTCTGCCCAAAGACACCTAAAGCTAATTTAATCAGGTAATGGAATGAAGCACATGCTTTCTCCTTAAAAGCTGTATGATCTGCTAATATGATTAGTTTGCTACTTTTGTCATTAGAAAGAAAAAAAAAAAAAGGTGTCAAGCAAGCGTAACAAGTAAAATCAGTGCAAGTCTGCCCCAAATTCCTTACTCAGTTACTATAAATACTCCTCCAAATGGTAAACAGCCCAAGCAGCTGTCCAGTCCCCAAGTCACATTGGTCTCAATGCATTTGTATATTTACAGCTCAAAGGATTAATGAAAAGGCAGTGAAGAGAGAAAGCTACACAAGTCCTATTTCTGAAGGACTACAAGGTTGGATTTTATTAAGCAATGACAGGTTGTCATATAAGCATGTGTTTTCTGCTTGAAACCATTTATGTAGCCGATTGGGAAAACCTGTCAAACTACCGTAAGGTTTCTGTTTCTCATTTTCCTCAGAAGAGCAGGTACACGATTGTGAGAATACATATTTTACATAACTAACACATGTGTTTCTAGAAGTAGCCATCTTCTAGATGACTAAGATCAAGTTCAGCAAAGATCAAACACTATTTTCAGCACAGGCACCATGGCGATGAGATGATACCTGGAGGTTAACTTACTCCACGTCTTTACAGAGGAACCGCTTGAATATCAGAAAGAAGGCCAAACCCTGGACACCCGATCAAAGCGTAACAGCAGCAAGGTCAGCTGTCAACACCGCCTGGATGGGGCAGTCGCTTTTAGATCAAAAGATGCAGGTGGAGAGAAGGGCTAAGCTCGCACGGACACCTGCCGAGCGCACACACGGATCGGGAGCTGGACACGGTGCAGACGGCGCGGGAAGACGCGCGCTGTCCCCCGAGGGGCCGGCGGGAGCCCGGCGCTCGCCTCAACCCGTGCGGAGCGGCAGGCCCGGCGCGGCCGCGGCGGCCCTGCGCACTGCGCTG